ACACGAGGGGGGAAAAGCCTTGCCAGGCCACGGAGGAGGACAATGCAGCCAGTCCTGATAAGACCTGATAAGATGGAAGGGGAGGAGGACCTCAGCTATCAGTGGACTTGGAAAGGGGAATGGGAGGAGTTGGGAGGGATGGTGGGATTGGGAGGGAATGAAGGAGGGAACTACAGCTGGGATACAAAGTGAATAAACTGTAATTAATATAAAAAAATAAAAATTTAATTTAAAATTTAAAAAAAATTGAGATTAGATTTGAACAGGAGAGATATCCTAAACAGGAGAGAGGTGATAGTTCATCAGACAGCTTAGTCATTCAGTTCACACTACCATATAGAAACTAAAATTTTCTTCTTAAATAAAAAGAATATTTTTGTTGTTTGATGTTAAAAACACAGTTAAAAGATTTAAAATATTTTAAGTAAATTCAAAAGATTACTATGTTCAAACTTGTTTTCTAAAGCTCTAAGAGTTGGCATACTTTGGAGCTAAGATAAAATATTCAAGCAGTGCAGTGGTATTGCAGAGAGAGGTGGGTCTCTATAAATTAGCTGTTTTCTAAATTCTAGAGTTACAATGAACAGGGTACTGGTGGTTCACACCTTTAATCTCAGCATTTGGAAGACAGAGGCAGGCGTAAGAATGACTGTGATTTAAAGACATGCATGGTATACACTCACTTATAAGTGGGTATTAGCTTATAATTTAGGATAGCCATACTAAAATTCACACACCTAAAGAAGCTAAACAGCAAGGAGGACCCCAGGGAAGATGCTTAAAAATATCATTCAGAAGGACAAACAGGGTAGACACCAGAAGCTGTGGAAGAGGGGAAACAGGATGGGAGCCTTCTATAGAGGGTACTCTGAAAGGCTCCGCCCAACAGAAGAATCAAAGCGGATGCTGAGACTCAGAGCCAAATTTGAGCAGAGGGCAGGGAGTCTTTTAGAAGAGGGGAGGAGGAGAGATAGAAGGACATGGAGAGGACAGGAACCCCACAAGGAGACCAACAAAGCTAAAAAAAAAAAAAAAAATCTAAGCCCAGGATGTCTTGCAGAGATTGGTGTATCAACCAAGGACCATTCATGGAGAGGACCTAGAACCCCTGCTCAGATGTAGCTGATTGGCAGCTCAGCCTCCATGTGGGTTCCCGAGTAAGGAGAAGGAGGGCTACCTCTGACATGAACTAGGCTGCCTGCTCTCTGATCACTGACCCCTGGTGATGCAGCCTTGCCAGGAAACAGAGGAAGAGGATCTAGACAGTTCCGATGAGACTTGATAAGCTATAGGAAATGGCAGAAGAGGAGAACTCCCCCTCTGGACTAAGGGAAGGGAATGCGGGGAAGAGAGAGGGTGGGATGGACTGGGAGGAGTTGAGGGGAGGGAGTTTCAATCCAGATATATAATGACTAAATTGTAATAAATAAATAAATAATATAGAAAAGGAAATATGAGCTAAGAAGGAAAAATAATTAAAATGATTTAAATTTAAAGGCTGCTTGCAAAAGGCAGGCTGAAATTGAAAGTGAATGTCTTTTGTGATCTAAAAATAAATACACTTAAAGTATATTTAGTTTCAAATTTTCAAAAGAATTTTTTTTTTAATTTCAGTTGAAAGATAATACTTTTTCTATTGCCAAAAAACATTTTGCCCTAGGAAAAAATATAACATGCCAAAAAAAGGGACACCTGACAGGGTTGGGGCAGGGTTTTGTTTTTATTTTTCCAGGATAATTAAAAAAAGTATCCAACTAATGAACCCAGAAACCACTGGAAAAATGAAAAATCTGAAGAAAAAGGATTGATCATCAAGAAAAAATGTCCCATGAAAAAGAGTCCATCTTGCCTCTTCTGCCCTCTACAGACATAAGTGGCAAATGGTCTTTATGTGGTCCCAAGTCAATTAAAAATTAAAGCTGGCTTTGAGGTTGGAGCATGGCTCTCTCCTTCTCTAAACCCATGCATGCTTCTTAAAGGAAAATCTGAAATCTCTGTCTCATATCAGAAAAGCCATCTGGCATGGAAAAGAGAAAAACAGAAAATAAGGGACTATTCTATTGCCACTGATCTCATAATCTTTCAGTTTTCATTTGACTCTCTAACTTTTTAAAGGCATGAATAGTATCTCAAAATCTATAAGATTATTAGGTATATATAATCTTTCTGTCATGATAATAGTAGTCATACAGAGTATTAACTAATTCTAGAGATAAGCTTCACCTGGCTTATTGTGGTTTTCAGGTTTGACTCTGAAGCAAACATCTAGGAACAAAGTTTGTGTGCCTCAGATCCTCAAGCCTTTCTGAGATCTGTGAAATATGACATTTAAAATGTTTAGGTTTTCTACCATTCCCAACAGGAACCTTTTAGGTTTCCTCCACAATGAACCCACCTGGCTTGTGAAGCACTAACCACTGGGAAACACTGCTCCATGTTTCTGCTGCTGCCAGGTTCGGCACAAACAGTGGACACCTTTGCATTGACTGTTGTGTTCTACCGAGCCAGAACTGCCACTAAGCTGACAAGAAGATCAGCTTCAGACTACAGGCTGCCCAGGACATTCAAATTTCTGAGCTCACAGGAGACTGACATGAACATTTTACAGAACTTTGAACTCAAAAATACTTAATCCTAAAACTGCCAAATACAACCAAGCTCAACATTATGGAAAGATTGGCAAAAATAGCTTAACTATAATTGTACTGTATTAAGCGTTAAATGGTTCCTTCTTATTTAGACAAAAGGAGGGATATAAAAATAATATAGAAAAATAGAAGAAAGTGTATATTATTGAATCTACTCTTATAGATCTGTGTATATTGACACAAAATTAAGGTTACATTTGGTTACATTGGTATAGATTCTTGTATACTGATACAAAATCAAGGTTATAATTTGGGTACAACATACTATGTATCAATAGTTTTTAAGGTATTGTGCCTATGTAATTCTTAAAAATGCAATGTGAAGTTCTAGTTCTTTTGAAAGCTACTATCACAAACTATTCAGGATAATTAAGAAATGCAAGTTAAGAGGAAGTCAAACTTGTGATTTTGTTAGGTACTAGTTTAGTTAATCACAGGTGCTTTCTAAGTTAATCAGACAGTATATAGTTAGAAACAAAGAATTAAAATATACTAGAGGTAGACAGATAATCTTCAAAAACCTCACAGATCTGTAGAATATGGCATTTAAAGATGTTCTATTAATTTCAGAGTTTTTTTACAATAAGGCATGTCAGCTCCTAAAAGCATCCCCATTCTACTTCAAAGAAGATGATGAGTATCAAAGGCCCTCCATATCACGGTTTGCTTTCTATGTGGCAAGCTAGCCACTGGGCAAGAAAATGCCCTTGCTTCAACTGCAGACCAAATACTGGACAAACTAGATGCAGGACAGTCAACTGCTGAGCGTTGCAAGGACAAGTTAGGCAAGTATCCATAATACCTACTTCACAGAAATGTCAGATACTCTGAGCCAGAAGGCTGAAGATGATGCTCCAACATTATAGAGAAATTGGGGGGAGGGGGGAGCTGTCCAGGTAACCAACTATCTCTGTCATTTCTATAGTTTTGGAAGCTGCTTGTTCTGCACTCTCTGTTTATTCAGATAATATTTACCTTTCCCAGGTCTCTGATGGGGTTGAAGAGTAGACAGTTATAGTCTCACAGTTCAGTTGTTTTGGATTTGATTTAAAAGGTGTTTTTAGATTGAAAAATGCAAGTTGTGATAGAAAGTGATTTAGATACAGAACTCTGGACTCATCAAGACAGCACAGGTTGCTAAATACAAACGGACTGAGCATTGCGAATGTAATTTTTATCTGACAATATGTAGTTTATTAATATTATAGAAAATGATTTTTACTTAGACAAAAAGGAGGAAATGTTGCAGGAAATTTGATTCCATTGTGAAGCCCGAGTTTGTGAACTGTAAACACCTCTTTCTTGTTCGATGTGGGTCAGCCCTGATACACACCTTTAACCCAAGAGCTGTCTGTTTACTGTGAACAAGTACCTGTGGTTTTGGCTCAGCCCTAGCACACACCATTAATCCAAGAGTTAAATAAAGTCAATCCTGGGTCAAGAGGTGAAGCAAGAAACAAGCTAACAGGGATTAAACAGAAAGGAGGGACGTTGAGAGAAGGGAATTTAAGACATCATGGAGAAGAAGAAGGCGCGTTTAGCCTTTTCCTTCTGGGACATGAGCTGAGTAGGAAGATCAGCTGGGTGCTTTCTCTGCCTCTCTGAGCTGGTAGGTTTTCACCCCAATATCTGGCTCCTAAATCTTTACTGGTAAAAATCACACGTTTGGGATTTCTTTTATTTAAAAACAGGCCCCTTCTTTCTAATTTCAAAGGACTGGGGATGGAGGGTCGCCTCTTTCTTCTTCACTGCTACCTTCCCCTCGGCCACAGATGCGGTCCTCTGCCTCTGGAAGGAACCCCGGCAAACTGGCTAGCACCACCCCTACCTCACGGCCGTAATTCTACATCCCTGTACAGGAAAAGGCTGAGGTGCAGGTCTCCCTTACCTTGGCACAGGTCCTCGCAGGGCGCTGCTGGAAGAAATTGCAGTATTGCCACTCCAGTGCCTTCAACCGGAAAACGCCAGGGTCCCTGCCACTCCACTCCCCTTCTCCAGCCTCCCCGAATCCACCCAACTTGCCCCTCCTTCACTACGTGCGGCCACGGCGTTCCGCCGCCCGTGATGTCAGAACGTCCAAGGGGTGGGCAGCGGCAGCCGGCAGCCGGGCGGGTTCCAACGCCTTTAAGAGGGACCTGAGTTGTTGCATCTGCGCTTTGCCTTACACACGAAGGATCTCTCTCTCTCTCTCTCTCTCTCTCTCTCTCTCTCTCTCTCTCTCT